TAGAAGTCCGATGTCTCATAAGTATTCGTTATGCAGGCAAGCACGACGACTGTCACGATTTACTTTATTAGGGTGATCGATGGATTAACTCCGGTGTAAAAAAAAAAAAAAAAACTGGAAATAATACATCGCGGTCTAGCAACGATATGTGGCATCGCGTAACGGATTATATTTAATAGATTTCAAATTCGCTGTTTGCGCGAATCGCTCGGCGAGGAGCGTGGCACCCTCGATCATAATTAAATGCAGCGTACAGCGGCGTTGCAGAACACGGACGACGAGTTGCAAATGGTCGCGAAAAACATTTCCCGGATAGTCCATGAAATCCGAAACGCTTTCGAAATGTCACGATAAAACGGCAAACAACGCAGAACATCCAGGCAGCGAAACGTATACGCTGGCCCCCCCCCCCCTCCTCGCCAAAGAATGCTCTTATTTGCGTTTGGTACAGCAAAAACAAAATAAAAAAAAAGAGAGAGAAATACATGGCGTGGAGAATCGCCCGTAAATGCTCGGCTTTTGTGAAATACAGCGGCCGACCATAACGGTGTGCCGTTTGCTCGATAATTATCGACGCGCGCTCGTATATACGTACGTGCGCGCGCGCGTGCATGCGTATAGTTTTGCAACAAGATCTTTTATCCGATCCGTCGAGCGAAACGAAAAACATGATCATGTACTCGAGTACGCAAATCGTTTGCGAATCGTAACATGCACAATAGAACACGCCTGTTCATTCAGCGATGTATAAAACTAGTTTTCGGGTAACTTTTTACCTTAAATTTCTCCCATTAAACTCCGATTGCGGGGTCGATTGTTTGCCGTCGATCGGCGGCGGTTGTGGCGCACGTGCGCCGCAGCCCCCGCCAATTAAAATTAATTTGCCCGGGTGTTTTTCTGCGTTTAAACGTAACTCTCTGATTAACGTGATGGGGGATTGTTGCGATACGTTACAATCGTTACAATGCGCCGTTCTATTTTCCGCCGTTCTAAAGCCGCGCGATCGACGAACGCACGTCCTCGTTTAGGCGGCCGAATGGATCATTGTGCCGAAAATCGTGGCGCTTGATCGTCAAAATGAGCGACGTGATCATGCGTGTCCGGCTGCGTAGTCCGCTAACATAAGGGTTGATCCTGGATTCAGCGGATCTCGCGCGGAGGATTTCGTCCCATTCGCAGCGGAAACCCAATTGCGCGCGGTTCTATGCGTCATTAGCGCTGGAAACGGAGTTAACGCCGTTAAATCCGGGTCGGTCGGTCGGTCGGTCCCCGGCTGCGATTATTATTCGCACTTGTGCCGACCGTTCGTTCGTTTGGTCGTACAGATGCGCCGCCGGTGCGCGCGAAATGACGATCTCTCGTGCGAAATGCGAATGAGCGATCGCGTTCGTTCCGACTGTAACCTGATTTTCGTCAACGAACATTTTTTTTTTACTCCCTGATCTTTTCCCCCCGACTGCCATTGCATCATCTCGGGGCTTCTCACAACGTTTTTTTATCCTGAACTGATTTGTTCACAATCGAGATATTGTCGCAAAAGGATAGTTTTTTATCATTTGCACAAAGATTCAGTGATACGAGATCGTTTTTAAGATCTCCACCGTATTCTTTTGCACTCGTCTAGAATTGTATAATGAATTTTTATGTTAATAAGTTTTAAGCAAATGTAAGAAATTAGCAGAGATTGGAAAGATCTTGATGATAATCGCCGTTCTAGAATTGCGCGCTTTATAGTAAAAATGAATTCTTGGAAATTTACTGACGAGAAATTTTATTTCCTTTAGCGTTCTATCAATATCGAATCTCGTCGCTTTGCCAATATTTTTCGTGGCTTATTCGGCAAATATTTTCCAACTATAATACACAAACTAAAAATTGGGTCACTTCACCGATGCAAAATGAACTACCACGCTGCGCGTAGAAAGAGTATTTCAATATTTTTCACATTTACTAGTGCGTTTTACAAAAGTGTAAATAATTTTTGTAGAGATATATAAATGTATGAATGTAACGAGATGAGCCGCTTAAACATACAATATGCTTCGCATTCGATAAAAACAAACGCGTTTATTACGCGCGTTCTTAAAATGTTTATTTTAATCATGTATGCATTTAATTAAATATATCATAATTTGTTTATGGATATATGTATGGATACGCGTTGTTTATGCGTCGCGAATTACAGTACCGCTGTATTCGCTACATTAACAAATTGCTTTTTCGCTAATGGAAGATTACATCAGCTGCAGATCATAGTGTGGATACAAAGGATAGTTCGTTGAAGTAAACACAAATACCGCATGAAGTAATACCACTGTTTGCTTAGTGTTTCACTTCGTTAACAATTAATTAATTTGTCCATTGCACACACTGCAATTAGCGTAAGTGTCCGGATACCAAATCCAAAACGCGTTGACATACGTAGCTAGACAAATTCGAAATACATAATGTCATTCGCGCGTAACGTTATAATAATTTTCTCATCTAGTTCGTTGCTCAGCTTAACTGGCGCAAGATTAACTGGTGGTTATATTTGCGAAATTTGCTTGTATATTGACGTGAAATTAGCTTTTGCCGCGATAAGTCACAAACTTCTTTCGGAAATTCGTGCCGATTCTTATTCTTAATCTAATCTGTACACGAAATACGAAAGTAAGTATAACGAAAGTAATAAGTAATGTCATGTTTGCACGTTTTATATAGCGGTATGTTTATCTTATTCGCTGAAATTATCACGAGATCGTAATATCGTAACTTTCCAGAAATACAACGTATTAAATTGTTACTTTTCTCTGTTTTCCTTTAATAATTCTCATTTATTAACTCGGGCTATGTACACCGAGAACTCCTTCAAATATTCAAACACGGCGGATGTATTTACGAAAAGTAAATTAAATATCATGAATTAAATAAACGGAAATTATACAAGCGGTGCTCGCGCAGTAATATCATTCAACAGAGAAAACTTACGTCAATTTTACATAAAGTGTATATATAACAACGGACATTTTATCCGGATAAAATTGAATTTCTTCATATCAAGTTTTCTTTGAAGCACTCTCAAAGCTTCGAAGTAAAAAGGTACCTCGCAAAAAAAAACAGATTATTTTTTTATGCTCTTATACCTGGACGAGATAATAAAATTTTAAGAAAGTTATCAAGTCAAACGCGTAAAAAGACATGCCCTACAGCACTTTTTAGTACTTGACTTGCGCATGATACAATAACGACGGATCCAGCTGACTCGTCGAGATCCTCACAATCGAGCGACGAGCCTCGTGCTTTTGTTGCATAAGAAACTATCATTCGCATTTCAATGCTGGTCGCGTCTCTCTCCTCCGGTCATGAGCGAAAAGACGGGCGTTGAAGAAAGGAAGAAGGGTGGAACGTTCGAGAGAGAGAAAGGGAGAGAATGGGGAGGAGAGAGAAACGAGCGTTGCGAATGCATCGATATTGAATTGAAAATGGATCGCGCGGAAAACGGAGAGGACGGAAGAAGACTCGTAGCTATTCGGTGGCGAATATAACCGCGATCCGCACATAAACATCCTTCTTTCTTCCTGTCCTGCGCCTTTCATTTTCGCTTATCCGTCACTTATATACATACTTATATACATTATGAGCTTGAAATTGCAGTTATCGCGAGATATCCCCCCCCTCCTCGCCTCTTCGAGACGATTACGCGACGTTTTATTAATCTGCCGCTGTTTTCTCTTCACTCCCCTTCTCTCCTCCCCCCCCTCTCTCTCTCTCTCGGGGCAAATCAATTTTCCCTAGATCTAGGCACGCGATTTCTCTATCTCAGCGAAATCGCGCTCTTCTTCCTCGTCGGCCGCGATAATAAAACGGAGGACGGCACGGTGTAGGTAATGCTTTTTATTAAGTTTTCCTCGATAAACGTACCACTTGACTGTCGCGGATGCGACTTTGCACAACCCCCGGGTCTTCGGGGAATTTTCCTTTACGCCGAGTTGCGCACGAGTACGATTTAGAAATACGGGATTATTAATTTCATGAACACTCAAAGGAGAAAAGAATCCAAGCGAAATTCACTTGGGTGTCTCGAGAGGGACGCTATTCTTTCTCCGTTATACGATACGGTTACATTTTTTATTTCCCGACGAAATTACAATATAAATTATTACAATATGTAATATAGCCGTCCGATAGAAGTCTCGCTCTGTAAAAAAGGTATGTTTATTAAACCGAACGAATAGAATAAAATGTTGAAATAAAAGAAAGCATTTTTGCAGAATCAATTGCCATGCATCTTGCCGCGGAATGACGTAATTAAAACGAAATTCTTGCGCGTACAAATAAGTTTTGCCTCGCGAACTCGCCTCCGTTTTCATCTCTCGTTCCCTTGAATTTTGTCATCTGTTCCGCGCGTGTTTACCCGCATGCGAGTTTCAGATATTCCATTACGACTTGCACTCCGAGGTAAATATAAAAATGCTTTCCGTTCCATCCTGCATGTTTTACCTTGCCGCGCATAAATCAAAAAAGAATCTCGACATAACTCCCCGAGATCGGTTTCGGGCTTAAAGTAACCGCGCAAACTTGGACAGTCGTGTCGTCTCCTTTTATCTCAAACTGTGATTTTGCCTCGGATTTTGCTCAACAAGACTATAAAACGTAAATGCTTTGTGAAATCGGCATTATAGTAGAGCAGTTAAGTAGTAAAAGCGTATTACATATCGGACCTTAATTTATTGGTCTCGCTATAAAAGCGCCGACGTTCAAGTCATTTAGGAATTTTAATTTAACTAAATTAGACGCAACTGAAATACGTCTCAAAAAATTGTACAATATAATTATTATCATGCGTTAACACTGAGAAAAACATTGAGCCAGAATTAACAATTGTATCACAAAATATGTACACTTGTGTGAAAAATGATACATTTATTTAAGTGTTTTAATTAATTCATTTGAGACATTTGAAGTCAAATGACTTGTGCGTGTTCCGTAGCTGACAAAATCTTCTTTTATTGTTGCAGGCGTTTCTTGAAATGGCGGACGAGAACGCTGCAGCCACCATGGTGACCTACTACGCTTCCGGCGTGGCCCAACTCAGAGGCAGAGCGGTCTACGTGCAGTTCAGCAATCACCGTGAACTCAAGACGGATCAAACGCACTCCAACAACGCGGTCAGTAGCCCAACAAATGATGTCGCCAACACCTCTGAGGTCTGTGTCATACTTCTCGCTTCAACTTCTTTCTTGCTTCACTAAACCTTGGGAACGGCTGCATGAACGCTATTCTCGCCGGACTAACTCTATTTCGATCTCCTCTTAACACTCGCTCGCTTTTTTTCCTCTTCTTCTACCGGTGACATAGGTCGTAGGTATTTAAAAGCAAATAACTTTGAAGTAACGTCGAACCTCACAAGTGAATAGTCACGTTGTTTCGTCAAAAATTATAGAGGGTATATAACCTCGGGTAAGATGGCCATACAGGAAAGATGGCCAACCTATGTTCTTTTAATCTAGCTCGCCATGAAATATCGAATGAACATGCATGGATTGGCCATCTTATCTGAGTTTACCCTAGGTATCTTAAATAGGTTTTTATATGATAAAAATCGATAAGAACGTTTTGCATTCCTATCCGTGAAGAGAAGAAAGAGCTTGTGCTGTCGCTCTATGTCCTGTCGATGACGGTGACTTCGATGCCTCGAGGCGTTTGCTGAAGGCGGCGTCCATGAAACGAGTCGAATCCTGCCGATACAGTGGTTGCTAATCGCGCGGCCAAATTAGCTTCGACAGTAGGGTTATTTATGCGGTTTAATTAATTAAGCCGATATCCAGCCCCTTGCGTATATCTTTACTGATCATCGGCGGCAACATCCAAACGCGTGGCGCGACGCTACGCGGGAGCGGGTGGGACACGCCACGGCCATTTCGCCGTCAAGTCAATCTAAACACACTCGCGTCCGCAAACTCCGTTATAATTAATGCATCCATAATTTATGAACGATCCCTCGGGCGCGAGCGAGCGCGATGGCTCATCCCGCCTACGTCCTACTAAACCCCTCGTCTACATGACTGCACACAGTCGCACGTATACGCCACTACTTGCGACTTGCGCGTGTCATCGTGTGCTGCCGGTCATCATCGGAACTAGTTAACTCGCTGCGCAATTCAGGGCTGCGCGCGGCCGTTCCGAATGAAATTTGTCAGCGAATTAATTAGCGTGCGAACTCAACTGACGAATCAATTAACGGAATTCAGTTAGGGTACTCGCGACATTGCATTGTGCGCGCACGCGCCAACTTACGTGGAACGCTCCGTTGCTGTTATTGTGTTCGCTCCAGAAAATTGGAATTAACGCGCATCTCCTTTGGAACGTTTCCTCTAAGAATTTATTGGCCTAAACGGATCAATGCGGAACGTTTTTAATCGGAAATTCAACAAGATCGATATGGTGATGGTTTCGAAACGCACGTGCTCGGCGAATCCGCGACAAAGCGCGTCATTGTCTTACCGCGTCGCGTCGCGTCGTCGTCTCGTCGTCGTCTTTCCGCCGCGAGAGAGTCGAGAATGACGTCGAGCGAAGCCGCAGTATTATCGTTAACCAGCACCGCCAATTCGCGTCGTCAACATCGTAACTCCCGTAAGTTTCCCGATGCCACCGTGTCGGTCTGTCTGCCTCCCTCCCGAGAACACTCTTCGTCCTCCCTCCTCTGAGTTACCGAACTGCCGTTGCCACCCCCCCCCCCCGGGGGCGCAACTTCGCGGTGGAAACGGATACCGATCCCACGGGGAATCCTCCGGGAAAGTTTCGCGTGTATCGGGACGGCGGTTGGGGGAGGGGGGGAGGAGGAGGGAAGGAACGCGGCGGTGATGGTCCGCACGAAAAATAATAAATAAGGAAGTAAATAGCCCGGCGACGCGCCTCGTCGCCGCTGATGCTTTTTCTTGACACGCGGAAACTTTCCCGGCACACGTGACCGTGGAAACTTTGCAATCCACAGGATTTACAGAGCCGCGACGTGCGCGGTTTGTCTGAGAACAAAATTCATCGTAATTCTAGGAAATTCCTATGCGCAAGTTTCACATTACTCTCTCGGTGTATCACGATGTCATTATCGCTTCGTTAAATAAGGGCGGTCGTAAAATACGCGGAAGAAGAACGAGAAGGAGTTGAAGTGACTTTCTTAAACTATGTTTAATGTACACTGTTTTTTTTTCACGCGCCACGCAGGATTCTATTTCTAGAAAATATTGAAGTTGTTTCCAACTTGCTTCTCTCTCTCATTAAGATTTAATTTTTAACGTTTATTTTTAGTTTTATACATATATATATATCCTTGTAAGTAAATTTTACTTTGTAGATTTTTCTCTTCAAGCGCGTGGAGAAAATGTTAAGTACATCTAAATTTATTACCGTTTATTCATTTGCGATGTTAAATAGTTGATTTAACTTGAAATTAAATTCTCGACGAAAGAAAATCAATTGCAAGTTACATTAAAAATAAATATCTTTATAAAAATACAATTTATATTTAATTTACTTAAATATATTTATATTCGAAGCCTTTCTCCAATTATATCGTTGCTAAAATAATATTGAGAGATAAAGTTATTCGTATAGAAATAACATTAAAATAATCCGACCGTATAACAGTGAATTTTTCTTAAGATAGGATTAGCATTCTAGCGCATCAAGAAAGTATTATATTTATATTATAAATGTTCATTCAAGAATAAAAGAATGCTCGAGCTTCAATTTTATTTTCGTTCTGATTCTACATCAAAAATTCGAGTGTGCGTGATCTAAAGACAAATATTACACAGGGTCCGCCAACGAAAAGTGTCCACCACCTATAATTCGGAATAAACGGCTCAAAATTATGAAAAATCGCGAAATACATGTTCGATCAGTGTTTTTAGCAAATTATAATTTTATTATCCTACATTTTTGTAACTAAAACTATTCATGACTTATTTGAATATTTCATTTGCTAACGTCAGAAGTTAAAATCATTTAAACACTACCGTTTGTATAAGAGTGATATTAAATTAAAATTACCATCGTATCTTCCTTAACCCTCCGCCTGTATACGTGGGTCTATGGCGTTCGAGCCAAAACGATATCTGTAATTGTAAAACTTGCAAGCCTGTTAGAAAATATATTAAATAAACGATGACTATAAAATCAACTAAAATGTAGACAGATATTTTGTGATTTTTTTTTTAGATTTTTCTAAATACTTTAAGGTAAGGAAAAATAACATCAAACGTGACAGATCCACGTATACAGACGGAGAGTTAAGGAAGATACGATGGTAATTTTAATTTAATATCGCTCTTATACAAACAGTAGTGTTTAAACGATTTTAACTTTTGACGTTAGCGAATGAGATATTTAAAGTCATGAATATATAGTCCAACGGTACAAAAAAAAACGTATACAGACGGAGGGTTAGGTAAAGAAAGAAAAAGAAAACGCGACAGTACTTCTGAAGGGGCAAAGATGGCGAAGGGTTTCACGGCGCGTTCGCTGGCTCTCTCTGCAGTCGAATGATTTCTCGCCGGGCGTCCAGACTGACAAACGACGCCGAAAAAGCAATCGCCGTGAAAGCCTCAGCGATGCACCGCTCGCGCATCGGCCTCTGTCTCTACGTGGGCGACGATGATGCCGGAAATTCTGCGGTCCGAACGCAAGACGAACGTCGCGCGTCAGCCACCGCGTGCTCGCAGTCTAGAACGAGAAATCAATTTTACATGAACGAAGAAACAAATCCGCGACGACGGCTGCCACGAAACACGCGTTATTATAGTCCCATGCCTTTTATTCTCGATTAAAAAATCATCGCGCAATTTCAGATCGAGAATGACTTGTACGAGTCATATCAGTTTCTTCATTCTCACGTATTATGCAATTTGATCTTTAAAAACTTACATATCTATTATATAATCCAGTATTTCTACTTTCGACATTGACATGTTTTGTTTCTTCTCGATTTAATTTCTGGTGTGTATAAACTAATAGACTTTGCTACTACTTTTCACGTAGAAGCATCCGCGAGGAAAATTAACAGTCTTAGAATTTAGAAGTCTTCCGGTATCGATTGCACGAGATATATACATAATTGAATGCGGACTGGACGGAACAGGTCGGCGAAGGCACGAAACAGCTAGGAGAAATCAAATTTAGCGTAAGAGAAAGAGCGCGAGAGAGAAAGGGAATATATTTATGAGTAAAACGCGACAGCCCCTGGGGGTGATGTGTCGGTTAAGTAAATGCCCGGTTGGCGAACTCCGTTTAATAAAGACGCCGTGCGCCGCGGCACCTCGGCATTGTTTAGTAATTAATTTAGAGCCGAGCTCGCCGCCCCGCAACGAATAACCGCGTTGTTTAGAGCGGGAATGAGCGAGACAAGAATAAGGTATATTTCGGACGACAAAGCGATAAAAACATGAGAGAGTTATAATGTGACGGCGCGTTGTGCGCGCCCAAAAATAGATTATTATCAAGAGAGATCTAATTAAAACCAAATTAAATACCATTGAAGTAAACCGTGCGAGCAATTAGACGCTTTCAATTACGCGCTTTGAATGCGCAAAATTACATGGAAATTGAAATAATATTGATACACGTTTGAATAATGGATATATTGAAATTACGTCGAAATTGAAAATATGTTTTAATAATAGCTGCCGCGAAGACCAAATTCTCTCTGCATTACCTACATCGCCTTGAATACGTCAGTTTTTATCTAATTTTTCAAACTTAAATGTCAGATCATCGATGCGAATTGCCGTGTATAACCTCATTGCGAATTCGATTTAGATAACTTTATTTTACGCTTATTTTTCGATCGATTTGTTTTTACGCGGTCACACGAAGAGTTTTGGAGATATCGTCAGCTTTACAGCTCCACTTTTAACTTCTCGAAATGCACTTTTCCTGAGTTTCCAAGTTCGCCGGAAAGCTTTTCGTCGCAGTCTAGAAACCCGCGACCGGAATTAAGAGGTATTTTTACGTGGCTTCTCGCCCGTCGTACAACGCCTTTCCCCAGTTCCATGTTAGTTGGCAATTTGGATTAATTTAGATATTTCCGACTGCTTTTACGCGGCCGCTTTTATCACCATTCCTGTCCTCGTTCGAATGATTTCGTTTTTGTGCTCGAGACGTCGACGGGATTTAATTTGAACGCGCGCGTAAATAGCTTGGCATGCAC